TATTTTATATTATTTTTGACAATCTTTAAAGTCATTATTCAATACATTGTTATTGTTAAATAAATATTGTCAAATAATCGAGATCTCAATTTCAGTGAAAATAATCGTGATTATCATTTTTGCCATAATCGAGCAGCCCTAATACATATATATGTGTATGTATATATATATATATATATACATACTCTATTTTTTTACATTTCACACTTTCTACACATCAGTATTTATCTCTTGAACCTCTTTGATGAGAACATATTCATCAGAAAGAACTCATAGTGATAATTAAGATTAGCCACTGCAATATTGTTAGAACTCATCTATTATAATGCTGAGGATGGTCAGGTCTCATATCAGGCACACTTTACAATTACTAACAATCTGTTTTAGAATGCAACACCAAAATCAAGAGTAAAACTGGGTTCCAATAAGGGCAACAAGATTAGACCCGTTAGTGCTACAGCACCTAGGCTCAGAGTTACACAAATCATCTATGAATGAAGACAAGTATGAACTCACAGTACTGAGTGAACAATGAGCTAAAAAAAAAAAAAAATCCACACAGGAGCTCAAAAGACTACCAAAACAAAACAGGAAGTGAGGAACTATAACTAACCAGGACAGTGCAGACACATGAAAACACTTAACATAGGCAAAACGACAGAATAGACACACACAAAGAACTTCACACTCAAAGACAAAGAGTGCATCACAATCAAAACCAAACACAAGCAACAAACACATAGGAGCATTAATACCACACCCATTAGAGACAGTTAAAATATTAAATTATGTTCAACAAAGAGTGTATTTCTTTCCTTGGTATGTTTAATCAGAGTGTTGTAGCTAAACATGTAATGAAGGCTAAAGAAAAAGGACAATAAACACAATGCTTTTTTATTTAAATGTATTTATATTCTCTATCCGCTACTTTCATATGTGCATCAGATAAACTGTAGATGATGCTCCTTGTGTGACATTAAAACCTTCCACAAGAAGAAATCACTTAAAGAAAACATGTGCTCAACACAAATCTTGTAACTTTTGTTTTTATGCTTATCAAGATATTCCAGCTTTTCCACATCAGCAAAGCATTAAAATGTCTTTCATATTCTATTTGAAAATGGTCATAAAACAGCTGGAAACAGAGCTAATGCAAGCACAATGACGCATACTTCCTCCATGCGGTGCCTGTCAAGAGTCTCCCTCTACTGAAGCAAACAATGCTGAAAAAAATGGGCTCATTGCTGAAGGTAAGCGGTACCCCCAACCCTGTTAGTCTTCATCAAACTCATACAAACACAGGTGAAGCACTTTGCAGCAGGTCTGAAGAGTACACCCCCAATGGTGTATTGCTTCCCTGTGCAGTAGAAGCAGTTTAGTCCAACCTGTGGCCGTGAGGAGGCAGTCCAACAGTGGATGCGAGGGACTGAAGGATTCAGCCCTGAAATGACTTTGTATTATTCTGCAAAATGAACAGAATACTAAAAAAAACTATTTAACTATTTCTATAAAAACAATTTCAAATTAGACATCAAGGTCCTGCCACTGTGCAAAGACTAAAAATCATTACTGCATTAACCACTGATCACACTTCATATTTTTGCACTGAATGCAAACATAAATCATTTAATAACCACATCATTTTCTTTTGCTGGCACTAGCGGCTCCAGTCTCTTTGTTACTTAATGAGAAACCACATCATCCATCGGGTGGCAGGGGAGGGGACACAATAGTACTTTGTCACACTAATCCCAATTATTCTTTATGTGTAATCGTGGAGCTGAATTTTAAATTCCTCATTAGGCCAAGCAGATCAGTCATTCAGCTGACAGGGACACAGCAATTTATACCAGTGACCAACAGCCATGTGTTATTTCTCTCTAGCTGGATGAGGATGGCTGTTAGTTTTGATAGAGTTCTATGAGACTGCTGACTTTAGGTGGGAAAAATACAAATAAGCAAAACACATCTACAGAGAAACAAGAAGTGGAAGAAGTTCCACTTTATATCACCATGTTCTGTGCTTTCTCTGCATCAAAGTTAAACTTTTTTGTTTTTAACATGTGTTGATGATGCTATTTTGATAGCCCTTCTTGAAACACAGGTTTGCATTAACTTTGCCACACTGAGTTGGTTTTAATTTTCATCATTATCTGAAATCTGTGGTGTACCCCAAGGTTCAATTTTCGGTATTATTTTGATTTCTCTTGACACTAGTTGTCTTTGGAAATTGATCTAACATCCCATCGCATTCCCTGCTATGCAGAGGACAAAGGGATCCTTTTGTTTTAGCTTGTCCCTGGATTATGACCTGCTGAAATAGTGGGGGAAAAAAAAATTGTGAAATGCTGTCTGAGGCTACA